AAATATTGTGGGATAAACCTATGATAGTTGGTGCAACCATCCTAGACCTCGCCAAGCGTTTCATGTTTCAGTTTCATTATCGAAAAATGAAACCAAATCTAAACTTGGAACTCCTTTACTCCGACACGGATAGTTTTATTTACGCCATAAAAACTGATGACGTTTACCGAGACTTGGAGAAAATAAAAGCTGATTTCGACTTTTCAAATTACGATAAGGACCATTTCTTGTTCGAGGATACCAACAAGAAAGTTGTGCTGAAGTTCAAAGACGAGACTGGTGGGAAGCCGATCAGAGAATTCATCGCCCTAAAACCGAAACTATATTCGGTCGTCCTTAATGGTAAATAAAATTTAAGCCACCCTTCCACCCCCCATTCCTACCTTTTACAGAACAAAAATACCACCACCAACCTACCTACACCCCTTAATTTGTTGCATTAAACTATGGGCATTTAGCTGATTTAGGCAACATTATACAATGTTGCCTAAACGTTGATTTATCTGACAACATATTCCCTCTTTTTTCCTCTTTTTTAATCATAATTTAGAGTCTTCTGCTCTTTTTTGGTAAAATGAATCAAATTTTGTTCGGTATAAATTGAGTTGCTGAAGTGAAATGAAGCTATCCCCTACGTTGTAGAAAAGAATAATAATTTTGCTTCTGTTTAGAAGGCACTCAAAAATTGAGTGCCAAAGGAATTAAACGGAGTGCACAGAGAGAACTGGTCCACCAAACCTTCAGGGACACATTATTCACTGGAAAAACAATGAGAGTGTACAACTATAATATAGTTTCGAAAGGTCACACCAATATGACAGTGAAACAAAACAAACTTGCATTATCACCATTCGACTCAAAACGTTTTCTACTTTTCGACGGAATTTCGACAGTGCCCTTTGGCCATAAAGCCGCTGAAGAAAATGCTTTTCTAGAAGACATTTACATGGACACCGAGTGGGCCAACTCATACAATGAAACTGATAACAGTTCTCCCGATTTTACACTTCCGGATTGGGGATTTTTACAGCGGCCCTACTCAGAAGCAGAGCTGCAAGAAGAAGAAGAAGCTTCTAGTAGCCGAGTCCGTGAACGTCCCCCTATAAAAAACCCATTTATTTTATCTGAAGCTTCAGAAGAACGACCATCTAAAAAACAACGCAAAGAAAACCAAAACAATAAACATTAAAGTCTGAAACATATATTTTCAGATGATTTTTACTCTTCGTCCTTTTTATACTTCGACTTGTATATGTTTTGGTTTTTACCAATTTACAACTAATAAAATACTCGTATTGAGCTCCATCACTGTTTTAACATAAATAGCTTCAGGCAAATAAACTAGTAGACGCAAACCAAGTGTTAATTCAAACAAATGTGTGAAATCCTTAGGCTTGTTAACAAACTTTAATAGCATGACAAATCTTTGACGAAAAGAAAGAAAGAAAGCCAGGAAATGATATCCACATGAAACTAGGACGAAAAAGAAAAGTTCAGGAATTAGGACGATTAATTTTAATTATCGCGGGAAAAGGGACCGCTTTAAAAGGAATTAGAAGGAATTATTGTATCGCGTCCCGGTTGTTGAGCTCAGCTTAACAAGATCCTAAGGAGGGGGTCTTTTACTTTAGGGGTGGGAACTTGCGATCATTTACAAAATCCTAGGATAGGGGTCCTCCAAAAAATTAAGGACCCCTTTCCTAGGATTTTGCTTTACGTGAGGACCCCCCCCTTAGGAAGGACCCCCCCTTAGGATCCGGGACACGATACAATACTACTGTTACAATTCGATAAAAACCCAATGAGGTTTAGTTTTATTTCTTTCATCCGTAAATAGCGAGATTCCTTAATTTTGAGATCCCTAAAGAAGGTTATGTTTTGCACTACCTTACCCTAAAATTGTACCATGAGCTGGGAATGAAAATAACTCACCTCGGAAAAGTTCTTCAGTTCCGCCAAAGTCACTGGATGGCACCCTTTGTCGACCTCAACACCCGCCTACAAAAAGCCGCGGTAAATAAATTCCAGGAGAACTTCTACAAGCTAATTGTTAATTCAGCTTTCGGTAAGACAATGGAGTCTAAGTTAGGAAGAAAGAAGCTGGAGATTGTAAGGAATGAGAGAGAACTTTTACAAAAAACAGCTCTGAGCACAATGAAAAGCTTTCAAATCATTGACGATCAATTAGCCACAATTAGCTTTTCAGTAACAAAAATATTGTGGGATAAACCTATGATAGTTGGTGCAACCATCCTAGACCTCGCCAAGCGTTTCATGTTTCAGTTTCATTATCGAAAAATGAAACCAAATCTAAACTTGGAACTCCTTTACTCCGACACGGATAGTTTTATTTACGCCATAAAAACTGATGACGTTTACCGAGACTTGGAGAAAATAAAAGCTGATTTCGACTTTTCAAATTACGATAAGGACCATTTCTTGTTCGAGGATACCAACAAGAAAGTTGTGCTGAAGTTCAAAGACGAGACTGGTGGGAAGCCGATCAGAGAATTCATCGCCCTAAAACCGAAACTATATTCGGTCGTCCTTAATGGTAAATAAAATTTAAGCCACCCTTCCACCCCCCATTCCTACCTTTTACAGAACAAAAATACCACCACCAACCTACCTACACCCCTTAATTTGTTGCATTAAACTATGGGCATTTAGCTGATTTAGGCAACATTATACAATGTTGCCTAAACGTTGATTTATCTGACAACATATTCCCTCTTTTTTCCTCTTTTTTAATCATAATTTAGAGTCTTCTGCTCTTTTTTGGTAAAATGAATCAAATTTTGTTCGGTATAAATTGAGTTGCTGAAGTGAAATGAAGCTATCCCCTACGTTGTAGAAAAGAATAATAATTTTGCTTCTGTTTAGAAGGCACTCAAAAATTGAGTGCCAAAGGAATTAAACGGAGTGCACAGAGAGAACTGGTCCACCAAACCTTCAGGGACACATTATTCACTGGAAAAACAATGAGAGTGTACAACTATAATATAGTTTCGAAAGGTCACACCAATATGACCGTGAAACAAAACAAACTTGCATTATCACCATTCGACTCAAAACGTTTTCTACTTTTCGACGGAATTTCGACAGTGCCCTTTGGCCATAAAGCCGCTGAAGAAAATGCTTTTCTAGAAGACATTTACATGGACACCGAGTGGGCCAACTCATACAATGAAACTGATAACAGTTCTCCCGATTTTACACTTCCGGATTGGGGATTTTTACAGCGGCCCTACTCAGAAGCAGAGCTGCAAGAAGAAGAAGAAGCTTCTAGTAGCCGAGTCCGTGAACGTCCCCCTATAAAAAACCCATTTATTTTATCTGAAGCTTCAGAAGAACGACCATCTAAAAAACAACGCAAAGAAAACCAAAACAATAAACATTAAAGTCTGAAACATATATTTTCAGATGATTTTTACTCTTCGTCCTTTTTATACTTCGACTTGTATATGTTTTGGTTTTTACCAATTTACAACTAATAAAATACTCGTATTGAGCTCCATCACTGTTTTAACATAAATAGCTTCAGGCAAATAAACTAGTAGACGCAAACCAAGTGTTAATTCAAACAAATGTGTGAAATCCTTAGGCTTGTTAACAAACTTTAATAGCATGACAAATCTTTGACGAAAAGAAAGAAAGAAAGCCAGGAAATGATATCCACATGAAACTAGGACGAAAAAGAAAAGTTCAGGAATTAGGACGATTAATTTTAATTATCGCGGGAAAAGGGACCGCTTTAAAAGGAATTAGAAGGAATTATTGTATCGCGTCCCGGTTGTTGAGCTCAGCTTAACAAGATCCTAAGGAGGGGGTCTTTTACTTTAGGGGTGGGAACTTGCGATCATTTACAAAATCCTAGGATAGGGGTCCTCCAAAAAATTAAGGACCCCTTTCCTAGGATTTTGCTTTACGTGAGGACCCCCCCCCTTAGGAAGGACCCCCCCCCCCTTAGGATCCGGGACACGATACAATACTACTGTTACAATTCGATAAAAACCCAATGAGGTTTAGTTTTATTTCTTTCATCCGTAAATAGCGAGATTCCTTAATTTTTCTATCGTAAGTGTTGCGAAGCTCTGCTTCGCCTCTGCGTTGAAGTAATTCAATTGAGGTGGGGCTAGAAATGAATGAGTGAAAGAGAAGGCTTTCAATGAAATATTGAAAAATAATATTACACAATTGTGCTTGCGCTATAGGGCTCTGTGGTTTAATTTGCAGTTAAGTTTGCTTGCACTATTTTTTTCAGAAACTGAATCAGGATACGATAAATTCGAATCATTTAGCAAAATATCTTCTACCTGAATGCGAAAAGCAAGAGAGCAGTGACATAGTTTAGTTCGGAAAAATAGTGCGGACTATATTTTTTATGCGTAAGTTTGAACACATTTCAAAAATTTTCACTGACAATAATATTATTTGAATTATTTTTGCTCAAGTTTTCTGAGAAATTTTTGGGCAACTAAGAAAGGAATCACCTTTAAATATTTTGCATTTGGACAGACCTATGACTGCAAGAGAAACTAGAGCACAAATGAAAGGGTTATTATTTTTATCTGCTGACAAAACTTCGAAAACGAAAAACTCGATTTCATTGAAAATAATAAGGGTGTATAATTTTTTGGTTGATAACAATATAATTTCCAAAGACCTTTTTGTATTCTAGGTGGCTTGGAGGGATGCTACTAGAAGGGTTGAATAACCCGTAGAGCATTCCTGATGTAGTGTTTGTAATTTAACTGATATATGAAAATGTATCTAAAATGTTTGTTTTTCTACATCGAAATTCAAACATAGAGGTTAAGTTGTGGTATTCTGCATCTCTAGATGATTCAATGATGCAAGAAATTGTTGAGATGTTAAAAAGCGTGTTCCGACCAGCCGTTAAATCTTTTTTTTAGCAGTTCGTTTTTCTGCTGTCCATGGAAGTGCAAACACTGCTGTCCAGTGGAAGATTGTCAAACACTTTTTGATAGTTTGTTTTCAGAAATCATGCTGCGGAGCCTGTGCAAGGTCCCCCCTAATGTTTCTGCAGTTCGATCATGCGGTAAGTTAGATTATATAAACATGTTTTATTTAAAGACAATGTGCATCTGAACATAAAGACACCCATTTGTTGTTTCAGGCGTTGACCGTGTTTTAGCTTCAGTTGTTAGTGGTCCCAAAACAAAGAGGGTGCTTGCAGAGTTATCCACTTTAACACCAAATAGTAGCAGTAAATCAAGTGAGAATTTCCGAGATTTGTCGATTTTTTCAGAAAGTTGAATAGATTTTTCAGACATTAAGGTAAAACCACCAGAAAATGCTTTTTGCAGTTCTTTCGTGTTCTCGGATAGTTATTTCACAGGATCAGTTTTTTTAGTATTCTTATTTTTTAAAGGTTATTTTATCAAGGGTGTGATAATATCTCCTGGATGTTGTAAAAGTGTGTCAAAGAGAATAAAGATGGCCGATCACTGAGTAGTATACTAGGCTTCCTTCCAATCAGACCATTGAAAGGAGTTTCGAAGAGTGATAATTTAAGACCAAAGAGACATGATCGCCGATTTCTGTGTGGCCTGAAAGTAGCATGGCTAAACCATTATAAAAGCTCAGGATGTAGCGACAACATTTTTTTTGAAGAAAAAATGACGAATCTGAAGCTCGTTTCCACCTTGGAAGGGTGGTCGAAGAAATAACTCAAGTCTACTAATCAGTGTTCAGTTATCTCAACGCATAGTACTCTCTGTGGTTCATTTCATTTCTCCAAGATGATAATTAATTCATTTGTTACTATAATTTAGTTGAATGTTTAGTCCTCAGTAGAACGTCTCCAATGGGCTCAATGCAGTCGTCCCGTAATAGAAAGGAGTTGGCCTCCATGTCCTCCTCTGCCTCCGCGTGTGCAGTGCATACAGTGCCTGGTAGCGTGAGTGGACCTGAACTGATGAAGACATCGACCATGACTGTGAACTTAATAGACGGAGTGGCTGTGGTGTCTCTAGATGTACCCGACAATAAGGTACAGAAAATAGTAATGATGATTTAAATAAAAATAATAATAATAATAATAAATTGTTTTCAGGCTTACCAAAATTATATATGATTTTATATATTTTAATACCTTGGCACTGCTATGTTTTTGTGATATTTATGAATTGCTTGACAAGTATAATGATTGTGACTTTAGATGAATGTTTTAAACGAAGCGGTGATTGATGAGATGCCGAAAGTGCTGGATCTGATCGAGGACCACAGTGAAGTGAAGGGTGCTCTTCTGATCTCCAGCAAGAAGGGCTCATTCATCGCCGGTGCTGATATCAAGATGCTGGACAGATGTGCGAATGCAGAGGAAGCACAGACCATAGCTACACATGGACAGGTGAGTTGCAAGAAATCTGTTTCTTTTAAACAGATGACATTTCTCAAGTTTATAGATGATTAAACTGGTGTGTGTATCAATTCCGAAGAAGTGTTGAAATCCAGTCTTTCTGGAAGTAGAATAATCGCGATACATCAAATTTTTTAAATCAATATAGGGGAACCCTGATCGATAAGTTATTTTTGAGCTGTAATAATCTGATCATTTTTTTATATCACATGGTTGGTCAAAGTCAAGTATCATTTACAGAAAAAAATGATTGAAAGACAGATTTGCATGAACGCATGATTTTGTTTCTCTAGAACTTAAACAACAGAATAGAGAACTGTAGGAAGCCAGTTGTGGCAGCGATAGCTGGTCCCTGTCTGGGAGGAGGTCTGGAAGTAGCTCTGGCCTGTCACTACAGAATTGCACTGGATGATCCCAAGACTGCTCTAGGAGTTCCCGAGGTAAATATTTGTTCGCTAGTGAGGTTGAATTGTTGAGGCTAAAGAATGAACAACTCATTAAGTTTTTCGCCTCGTGGATAAACACTCTAAATTTCATTCTTATAAACACCCCTGCTAATGATTATTTATCTCAATTCTACAAATCATCCCATAATTCTAAAACTTAAATATAAATTTAAACAAAATAGCTGATTTTTGCAATGAGTCGTAATTTGTCTCAGGAATGGAAAATGAGTCATTTTGCATTTGAAATAGGTAATGTTGGGGTTGCTTCCCGGAGCAGGTGGCACATACAGAATTCCCCGAATCCCCGACATGACCCTGGACAAAGCACTGGACCTCATCATGACTGGCAAGCAGCTGAACGCAACCAAGGCCAAGAAGATGAAGCTTGTGGACGCCCTGGTTGACCCCTTGGGTCCTGGAACTTTAGACTCTGGTCTCAATACAATGGAGTATTTGAAGACAACAGGCATCAAGACTGTGCTTGGACTAGTCAAGGGATCAATTCAGGTAAAATGGACGATTTTATGGCATGGTTTGATTACAGAAGCGCTTTCAAGTGCACCAACGCCTATCCCATTTCAATGACGATAGATTTTTTTTGGCACTTGCTTGTCTCTTATCTTTTTTCTTGAAGCACATTTATATTTTTAAAAAAAACTGATTGAAAACGGTCGGAATATATGTCGACTAATAACATGCCGAAAATCTCTAAAAATGGAGGGCAAATCTGAAATAACCGCAATTATTTCAAGATTCTTTTACTAATAGGTTTCGTTGTTTAGGTCACGCCATTAGATGGGAAGAAAAGCAGCATGACGAACAAATTAATGTCTAGTGGGACGGCGATTGATTATATCAAGAAGAAAGCAACCGAAAAGATTAGCAAGCCGCCGCTGAATAATTACCCAGCGCCTTTTAAAATTCTAGAAGTTAGTGAGACTTCTTGTTTTTTTTTGTGTCTTGATTCCTATTACGCTATTCGCTGTCGTGATTCCAAGCGAAAACAATACGAATGAACTTGATTGCCTCAATTTTGAACGCTTTATGATGAAAAGTTTTTTTGTATTAATTTTTTTTTTAATTGTCGCTGCAATTAGTTATACAGGTTGATTTTTTAAGATCTAATCCTGGGACGACAAAGGTCCGGATCTCGAATCCGGCAAGCATCTGTTTCTTTTTGTTGACTTGAAATATTCGGTTACATGACAAAATATCCCTTACCTTAAGAGCCCAAACGAGAAGATCCCAGTCAATAAGATACCATTCCAAAAGATACCTCGTTCTAAAATCGCCCACGACATAAGATACCATAATAAAATAACACAGAACCTGAGAATTGAAAATAAAGCGGTTAATCGATCAATGCAAAATCAAAGCGTCGGTTAAAATCAAAGAAACGGCAAAATTTTTGCTGCACAAATTTTGAACATAAATGACCTTGCTAATCACTTGGCCTTTAAAATAACTCAAACTTCAAAACAGCTTAGACTTCAATTGAACTTGAAAAGGATTTCAAAATAATCAAAACCAACTTTGCCAAAATTGGCCTGATTTTCCAGACAACTCAAGTCGGTACAAAATTGAGTTTTTGCAAAATTCTAAAGCTTTGAAAAGATTTTCATTACGAATCACTTGCCATTCTATTTGATAAAAAATATCAATTCTCAATTTTGATCAACTTTTTTTCGCTAGGCGCAATACTCAAACGGCCGTCAGGCCCCCACCCCCAACATAGCGTCCCGTAAATAAGAGCAATTGCTCTGGGATCAAATTGCTAGAGACAGCATTTTCGAATGCGAGTCGTAGTATTGCGTTTCGGCGTTCTCCGGGAGGGTGCAAGGAGACGTCTATAAAAAAGTTGATCAAACAATTTTAAATTTAGGAAAAATCAGGCAAAAACTAAAACAAAATTTAATAGGTTAAATGGGCAAGTGAACGGATATAAGACAATAAGTTAGAGTCTGTGTATGAACTTGTTATCTGTTGAACTTTTCATTCAGATCACGGTACTTCTTCCGGGATAAGTTGATAGTGCCGCTAGATGCCTTCAAAATGTTGAACTTTTGATTGTAGTAATCCAGTTGAATTTTTTCGAGAAACGTATATATTGAAGGATGGTTGCTTCCATAGAGAAATAGGAAAAAGTGTTTTTCGGCCAATCAAATCCCCTCTAATGTACGTTTTTTGGAAATAAGCAGTGAGCTCGTCTAATTTTTCGAGATCGTTTTGTGAAATATCCAGTTTGGTTGCCACACTGCATATTTCCTCAATGACTAGGTCGAACCCGATTTCCAATTGACTCCGGCACAAAACTAAGCGCAGGAATCATATTCAGCGCTAAGACTAGCTCGCTGTTTGATTCGTAAGTCTTTTTAAGGCCCAATTCGGATATTTTTTGCATAAAGCTCTGACAGAGGTGAAAATAGCATCCCTGAATGTCAGTTTCGTAATGAGAGGTAAAAGCACTCAGCGCCGCAATTTCAAAGTCGATCAAATTTTTTTCCGGGGTTACGTCACCGATAAGCGATTTAAGTGCGGTTAGGAATTTGTTATAGGTTGATAAGCGCTTATTGCTGAGCAGAGCGTAGACGCAATGTGGATAAAACCCGCCAATCTGGATGTGTACAGTGCACAGCTGGTAAAATTGACTGGGGCGAATTTTAAAAGTACCGTCTACAAGCCAGGTTTTGTTGTACAATTTAAGTGCATTGAGGTTCTCAATGTTGCCAAAAATTATTATGCGTTCCGTATCTTTTTTTCCGCTTTCAAAAAGACAAAATTGCCTAAAACGATCGGATATTTCGAAATGACAGTCATCTGTGGCAATAGTGGGCAGGGATGTCGTTTGTTTACTTCTGTTTAAAATTCGCCTTAGCGCCGACCGGGGGGCAAAGACAGTTGGGTTGCTTTTTCGTCCTGCACCAATTGCAAACTAGCTGCGATTATCTGGCTGTTTACTGGATTTAATTGATTCCTAACTGTCTCCTTCATTTGTTGAACTAGTTGCCGAGCTTCTGGGCGTCCTGCGTTGAGCTCATGGCTATGCTTGTTGCTCTGTGAGATTATATCGATCTTCATTTGCTGCAGAGACGTCTATAAAAAAGTTAATCAAACAATTTTAAATATTGGAAAAATTAGGCAAAAACTAAAAAAAAAATTTAATAGGTTAAATGGGCAAGTGAACGGATAAAGGACAATAAGTTAGAGTCTGTGTATGAACTTGTTATCTGTTGAACTTTTTCATTCAGATCACGGTACTTCCGGGATAAGTTGATAGTGCCGCTAGATGCCTTCAAAATGTTGAACTTTTGATTGTAGGAATCCAGTCGAATTTTTTCGAGAAACGTATATATTGAAGGACGGTTGCTTCCATAGAGAAATAGCAAAAAAGTGTTTTTCGGCCAATCAAATCCCCTCTAATGTACGTTTTTTGGAAATAAGCAGTTAGCTCGTCTAATTTTTCGAGATCGTTTTGTGAAATATCCAGTTTGGTTGCCACACTGCATATTTCCTCAATGACTAGGTCGAACCCGATTTCCAATTGACTCCGGCACAAAACTAAGCGCAGGAATCATATTCAGCGCTAAGACTAGCTCGCTGTTTGATTCGTAAGTCTTTTTAAGGCCCAATTCGGATATTTTTTGCATAAAGCTCTGACAGAGGTGAAAATAGCATCCCTGAATGTCAGTTTCGTAATGAGAGGTAAAAGCACTCAGCGCCGCAATTTCAAAGTCGATCAAATTTTTTTCCGGGGTTACGTCACCGATAAGCGATTTAAGTGCGGTTAGGAATTTGTTATAGGTTGATAAGCGCTTATTGCTGAGCAGAGCGTAGACGCAATGTGGATAAAACCCGCCAATCTGGATGTGTACAGTGCACAGCTGGTAAAATTGACTGGGGCGAATTTTAAAAGTACCGTCTACAAGCCAGGTTTTGTTGTACAATTTAAGTGCATTGAGGTTCTCAATGTTGCCAAAAATTATTATGCGTTCCGTATCTTTTTTTCCGCTTTCAAAAAGACAAAATTGCCTAAAACGATCGGATATTTCGAAATGACAGTCATCTGTGGCAAAAGTGGGCAGGGATGTCGTTTGTTTACTTCTGTTTAAAGTTCGCCTTAGCGCCGACCGGGGGGCAAAGACAGTTGGGTTGCTTTTTCGTCCTGCACCAAGTGCAAACTAGCTGCGATTATCTGGCTGTTCACTGGATTTAATTGATTCCTAACTGTCTCCTTCATTTGTTGAACTAGTTGCCGAGCTTCTGGGCGTCCTGCGTTGAGCTCATGACTCTGCTCGTTGCTCTGTGAGATTATATCGATCTCCATTTGCTGCAGAGACGTCTATAAAAAAGTTAATCAAACAATTTTAAATATTGGAAAAATTAGGCAAAAACTAAAAAAAAAACTTAATAGGTTAAATGGGCAAGTGAACGGATATAAGACAATAAGTTAGAGTCTGTGTAAGAACTTGTTATCTGTTGAACTTTTTCATTCAAATCACGGTACTTCTTCCGGGATAAGTTGATAGTGCCGCTAGTTGCCTTCAAAATGTTGAACTTTTGATTGCAGTAATCCAGTTGAATTTTTCCGAGAAACGTATATATTGAAGGATGGTTGCTTCCATAGAGAAATAGGAAAAAGTGTTTTTCGGCCAATCAAATCCTCTCTAATGTACGTTTTTTGGAAATAAGCAGTGAGCTCGTCTAATTTTTCGAGATCGTTTTGTGAAATATCCAGTTTGGATGCCACACTGCATATTTCCTCAATGACTAGGTCGAACCCGATTTCCAATTGACTCCGGCACAAAACTAAGCGCAGGAATCATATTCAGCGCTAAGACTAGCTCGCTGTTTGATTCGTAAGTCTTTTTAAGGCCCAATTCGGATATTTTTTGCATAAAGCTCTGACAGAGGTGAAAATAGCATCCCTGAATGTCAGTTTCGTAATGAGGGTAAAAGCACTCAGCGCCGCAATTTCAAAGTCGATCAAATTTTTTTCCGGGGTTACGTCACCGATAAGCGATTTAAGTGCGGTTAGGAATTTGTTATAGGTTGATAAGCGCTTATTGCTGAGCAGAGCGTAGACGCAATGTGGATAAAACCCGCCAATCTGGATGTGTACAGTGCACAGCTGGTAAAATTGACTGGGGCAAATTTTAAAAGTACCGTCTACAAGCCAGGTTTTGTTGTACAATTTAAGTGCATTGAGGTTCTCAATGTTGCCAAAAATTATTATGCGTTCCGTATCTTTTTTTCCGCTTTCAAAAAGACAAAATTGCCTAAAACGATCGGATATTTCGAAATGACAGTCATCTGTGGCAATAGTGGGCAGGGATGTCGTTTGTTTACTTCTGTTTAAAGTTCGCCTTAGCGCCGACCGGGGGGCAAAGACAGTTGGGTTGCTTTTTCGTCCTGCACCAATTGCAAACTAGCTGCGATTATCTGGCTGTTTACTGGATTTAATTGATTCCTAACTGTCTCCTTCATTTGTTGAACTAGTTGCCGAGCTTCTGGGCGTCCTGCGTTGAGCTCATGGCTATGCTCGTTGCTCTGTGAGATTATATCGATCTCCATTTGCTGCAGAGACGTCTATAAAAAAGTTAATCAAACAATTTTAAATATTGGAAAAATTAGGCAAAAACTAAAAAAAAAATTAAATAGGTTAAATGGGCAAGTGAACGGATAAAGGACAATAAGTTAGAGTCTGTGTATGAACTTGTTATCTTTTGAACTTTTTCATTCAGATCACGGTACTTCTTCCGGGATAAGTTGATAGTGCCGCTAGATGCCTTCAAAATGTTGAACTTTTGATTGTAGTAATCCAGTTGAATTTTTTCGAGAAACGTATATATTGAAGGATGGTTGCTTCCATAGAGAAAAAGGAAAAAGTGTTTTTCGGTCAATCAAATCCTCTCTAATGTACGTTTTTTGG